GGCGACAAATCCAATTAACAATATAGCGCCGCCCTAATGACGTGCCACGCCCCACAACAAAAACTAGCAACTTTTCCGGAGCCACTAGAGTTGACTCTGCTGCGGTGGCTCACTGCAGTTGGCCAAATTGAATCGCAGCTGTCAGAAAATTTAGCAGGATGTACAGTGTGCAAAAAACAAAACACATAAGCAACAACCAGCATATAAATCACAACACAATGGAGCGTGTGCGGTGGGTATTTATTGGTTCAATGTTTTATATTTATGAGCACAAGTGTTAATTTTATTACCGCAGAACGGGGCGTATGTGTAATATTAATTATTTCTAGTAATGGACAACAAACGACTGGATTGTGTCAATAGATTAGGGCCGATGCAGATTGGGTCGTTTGAAAATCGGGTGCAAATGCAAATATATGGACATAAATTTGGAGGTATAAAATGCCGTACATCAACGGGTGGGATTTTGAGTACGCCATTAGCCCGCAAAAGTAGGCAATGAAATTAGTTTTACGAGCTAAGCGTACACACACCCACAAGCACCCACAAACACACACCGACCTGAAATTGCCCATTTTCGGGGAATTTTTAATTGAACGACATCCGCAGGAGACAGGTGGGCAATAAGCACATCAAAAATAGCTCAAAGGCCATATCCTTAGCCAAGAGTATTCAACATCTTGCCGAGCAGCCATGACAGCCACTCGGGTGTAAGCCCGGCCAAATATCTTCATTATTGAATAATGAGCCAAGTGTCCTGGCAGGGATTTAGCAGATAATCGATGGGAATTTTGCATAATGGTTTTGTCTCTGCCGACTTAATCTCATGACGATCGTTTTGTCGGTGAGTCGACATTCCCCAGTCAACCATTCCGAGACGCAACCCCTATCTACGGGCAAAGTTTTTGGCCCAACTCCAAAGCGTCTTGATGGTCTGGCTGGGATTTTCAGATTTTCAGATTTTCCGATTTCACAATTTCCAGACTTTCACATTTGCCACTCCCATCCTTTTTTTTTTCGCCTTTGTTTTCTGGCACTGGGCGAGGTACTGTGCTTATTTTTAGAACACACATTAGCTGGAAACAATCGAAACTTCCCACTTAGCAATTTGGGAACAAATCGTTTCATAATTGATTGATGTGCCATCAGGCGAAGTTGTCTCGAGAGCGAAGTCATTGAGCATCGCAGCTAACAGATATTTAAAGCGACCTTCGTATAAGTAATTGCAATCGCATCAAATCGGACTTAAGTTCTTTGTAGTTTGATAAACAAAAAAAAAAAAAACAAGGAAGTCCCCCCATAAACTTTAATGTTTCTTAACTAAGGGAGATTTCATAGCTGTTGGGGCAGAGTCTAACTTGTCTGTAATAAAATTCTTAAAATTGATTTGTTTATGTATTGTTTGTTGTACATATGAAAATTGTTTTTGCTTAGTTGACTTCAATTAAAATTTTGAAATAGTCACAATTTTTATATATTAAACAAGAAAGAGGGGAAAATTAGACAAAAATTAAATAAAAAGTTTTAGAGACTTAATAAGTAATTTAACTAAATTGTAAATAAAATCAAATGCACACAAAAAAGGAAGCATATTTCGGGGAGCCGAAGTTAAAATACCCTTGCAGCTATTGCAAAATTAGTTTTAATTTTAATTTAAAACATTTAAATTGCGAATAATATGAGTACCAATCACAACCCATTGAAGCTAAGTTGATTTTGATCTCAATTATTCGATCATTCCTATGGTAGCTATATGATACCGTTCTTAACATTCCTATTTTTTCCATGGGAGCTATATGATACAATCGTCCGATTTTGATCATATTTAAACCGTATTTCAAAAATAAATTGAAGAACAGCGAAGCTATAATTTTTTAAATATTTTTTTTCCGATTGTTCCTATGGGAGCTAAATGCTTTATCCCTCTGCAAGAGTATTAACAAGAAAGAAAGCAAACTTCGGCAAGCCGAAGTTTATATACCCTTGCAGCTATTGCAAGAATTAAACATTTTTGAAAACATTAAAATTATAATTTACTTGCGTATAAGTTTAAAAACATTGAAGCTATGATGATTTGCAGCTCAATTATTTGATAGTTATTTTATATATTTTTATTGTTCCTATGGGAGCTATATGATATAGTCGTCCGACTTTGATGAAACTTAAACCGTAAATTGGAAATATTTAACCATTACTAAATGTCGAAGAACTAAACATAAAATTAAAAAACAGAAAAGTTATAATTTTTTTCATTTATTTCTCCGATTGTTCCTATGGGAGCTATATGATATAGTCGTCCGACTTTGATGAAATTTAAACCGTAAATCGAAAATATTTAACCATTACTAAATGTCGAAGAACTAAACAAAAAATTAAAACACAGAAAAGTTATAATTTTTTTTCAATTATTTTTCCGATTGTTCCTATGGGAGCTATATGCTATAGTCGTCCGATTTTGATGAAATTTAAACCGTAATTCTGAAATATTTAACCATTGCTATATGTCGAAGAACTAAACAAAAAATTAAAAAACAGCAAAGCTATAATTTTTTTTCATTTATTTTTCGGATTGTTCCTATGGGAGCTATATGCTATAGTCGTCTGATTTTGATGAAATTTAAACCATAATTCTGAAATATTTAACCATTGCTATATGTCGAAGAACTAAACAAAAAATTAAAAAACAGCAAAGCTATAATTTTTTTTCATTTATTTTTCCGATTGTTCCTATGGGAGCTATATGCTATAGTCGTCCGATCCGGCTCGTTCCGACTTATATACTACCTGCAATAGAAAGACAACTTTTGGGAAAGTTTCATGCAGATAGCTTTAAAACTGAGAGACTAGTTTGCATATAAACGGACGGACAGACGGACAGACGGACAGACGGACGGACATACGGACAGACGGACATGGCTAGATCGACTCGCCTAGTGATGCTGATCAAGAATATATATACTTTATAGGGTCGGAGATGTCTCCTTCACTGCGTTGCAAACTTCTGACTGAAATTATAATACCCTCTGCAAGGGTATAAAAATAATAACTCACATGGTTGCATAGTAGCAAATATGTACTCACTGAAATTGTGAGAAAAACAGACTATAAATGTCTAAGAACAAGGTTGGGTTTTTATATTTAAAATCATCTAAGTTTAATCAATTAGATATTTGCAAACAAATCATGCACAATTAAATAACGACAAATCAAAGCATTTCAATCAAATCCTCTAATAACATACATCTCACGAAAATGCCCACTGTTTAAACCACTACACTTGCCCTATAAATTTTGGGAAATGAAGGGCTAGATATATAGATGACCCACTATCCCGCCAGTGCCCTGCTTTCCAGCCGTATTTCTGGCGCTGTTGTTTGGTTTACCCAACTGCCAACCGCAGGTTGCCTGCCTGCCCTGCTGCCGCTTGTCTACTTCACATTTAGCGACCTCTATCCCTCCATTTCTACTATAACTACTGATGTCAAAATAATTTCAATGACACCCGCCATACAGTCGTGACTGGCAGCGTGCAGCCAGAGGAGCGAGCGGGACAGCGATATTTAGACAGATTTTTGAAAGCTTCGCCCCTCCGGTGGCTGTCCCAAAATTGAGTTTTGATTTCAAACTCAATTCACATAATGCGGGGGCGGCAGTGGGTGTGGTGTGTGTTTTTGTCTGTTGCTGCTGGTGATTGCTACAAATTCGATTGATTTAACGGCGCGTTTATTGTTGGCGCTTTTCTGCTGCCAGCTAACCAGCCACATGAAAAATTTGCTGCTTCATCCATTCTGTTCTTTTGGTTTTCGGGTCAGCCGCAATGCGCGTGCTTCATTTTATTTTAAAACAATATTTTTCCTAACTCCTCGCTGCCCAGTGAATTGAATATGCCAAGCCAAATCCGACAGTTGATACCATCCCAGGGGGAGCAAGTCGAGGGGATCCTGGTCGTACGTGACCATTATTCTTAAGATCTGTCAGAAGTGAGCCTCTCATTTTAAAGTTCTCCCTATTTTAGCATTAATGTATCTACACGAAATGTTTTACTGAAAAGGCTAAAACAGCCAGTATAATCTTAATAAAATTTTATTTAAAATTGTTTGTTTAACTACGCATGAAAATATTATTATATAACATTTTCTACATATTAAATCCTTACTCAACCATCACTTTTTTTTAAAACAATAAACTAATTAAAGATTAAATTGCCCATTTTAAGTTATATTTGTATACATGGCATCATTTTTATCTGGTGCAACAAAAAATTCTATTATACACATTTCAGAAAATGTTATTTTTGTCAATTAAAGCAAAATATCATCGGAAGCCACAAATCTGCTGGACCGTAAATACAATCCGTGTTTTTTAAACGAGTATTTTAAAATGAACAATTTATGATGCCGGAAATGAAAGTGTTTGGCCAGCCTCTTCAAATTATTTGTTCAATTAATATTTGGCCCCTCAACTTTTTGACCAACAATTTCAATTTAAATGTGAATTTTCTGGGTGTGCATCTTAATGTGGTTCTCCCCATTTTATTTTTTAGGCTGGACAGAAGGACACTCGACTGCTTAGCCACCGGGTTTCTTATAACTAATTGAAATCAGACAGGAAAAAGGGAGAAGGAAGCCGGCCGACGCATTGGTAAATTGCAAAAAAAAAAATATCTGCCCAGGCTGGGTGAACGAAATCGATGCTGTCGGTTGACAGTTTGTTAATTAAAAACAGCAGCCGTTCCTGGGCGGTCAGTGGGTGAAAGGGGTGGCTGGTGCGACGGTCACTCAACGTCTCACGCACACACGCACACGTGCCTGGGTTCATGCACTTGGCAGGCTCGGATGGCAAACGTCAGGGTCCGGGCTAATAAATTGCCAAAGCGAATCGAAGGGCCGGTGAACAAAGGAATCGGGCGGAGAACGGGGCGTATGAGCGATGGGCTTGTAGTTCGGTGCTAGGGGCTTGGGGATTGAAGATTGGGGCTTGGAGGGGCACTTCTCACTCACCTATCGTCGTAATTAATGTCAGGGAGTAGAGAAAGGCCGAGGCGTAGGTCCATTTGTGTGTGGGCGCATTCAACTGAATGCCGCCGGGGGGATAAACCTTTGACTGGCGCACCGCTCGCAGCAAAGTGTCCTGCGAAATGCCAAGGAAATGCTCAATTAGCGTCCCGAATTGGGCTGATATCTTGGCATTTGGTGGTGCTCACCTGGAAAAGCTGCACCTCCTGGGCGGCGAGGCGAGTCCAGTTCTCCTTGTACAATATATTCAGGTCCTCCGTTATCGACCACAAACGATCCACAGTCCTGTGGAAAAGGTAAACAGGATTGCTATAGAACTAAGCCACACATTTTTAAAGATTTTTTAAGCGGTTTTCAATGGGTGAAGTTATTGGGTGTAGAAATGTTTCTGTTTCTGTTTCTAGAAGTCTTTAAAAACTTGGAAACTGATTTTTATAAGTATGAAACATTAAGGTCGGAATTTATAGATGAGTAAACTTAAGGAAATATACACAATGTCTAACATTAAAATTCAACACTTTAAAAATTGAAAAAAATTAAAGAATTAAAAATGTAAGGAATCAAATAAAAGTACATTTTTTGGATAAAAATCTGTCATTTCTTTCCCTTTATAGATTTTTGTTCGTTTAAAATATTTAAGAAAAGGATTAAAATATACAATAAGTGTTAAATAATAAAGAAAAAAATGCAACGTTTAATACAAAAATTATATGAGGCTTACTACTTTCAACACAAACTTCTAAGCCATAATTTCTAAAAATTCGGCTTTCTGTGAAGCCCAAACTTGGAAAATATCAATTAAAAGAAAACTAATGTAGATTAAAAACGAGTATACCTGGATCGTATGTCGGCGTTGGCCATTTCGGTGCGGGGATAGGGTTTGGAGGCAGCCACCGCGGTTTCCAGGGTGCCACCATCCTCCAATTCGCCCTCGAGGGTCACAAAGACAATTGAGCCCATGGCGGTGTAGAGCAGCACCAACAAAAGCACGCCTGTGGATAATGCAAATTAAAGTAAATAAAACATGTGTTATTTGTAAAGCCCTTTACTAGGGGATGCAATTTGGTACAAGTCTACACGATCCGCGATGGTTAAAATAATTAAACAACACTATAAATAATTATGATGCATACGTATTGTTGGCATTACCCTTTTTAATTACCATTCAGCATAATAACTGTTTGAAATATACCAACTCTCAAATTAAATTGATTAAGCTTTTGTATAGTTTGTTTCGCATTCAAAAAAGTTAAGCACTTGTAATTATGGTACATATGTAAATCCAAGTAATTATAACAACTTATGGAGATGTGAATATATTAATTGAAATTGCTTCAAACCGATGTTAAAATTGTTAAAAAGGGAGAAAAAAAATAGTCAGACAATATATTACCATTAGTTAATTTCTATTACTAAACGAAATATTTCCGTTTACCGATGTATATTAAGCATATATAAATTGGTATGAATATTATATTGTTATATTCCTCACTTTACATAAACGTAAACATTTTTCCAACTAATACAAACATTTTTGACCATTTTCATTTTAAATTTAAAATCAATCTATGTATCTTATCCGGTGGTTTATAATAAAGTGTAGCATACTAATTCGCTTCTACTTGGAGACTTTTTGCCTCCTTAATATGTATAATAATTGAAAAAATATTAGTATTAGTTAAATGTTAATCTAAAAGAGTCTAAAAAAAATATATTTAAATTTGTGGAGGTATTAAATTATTATTTCTTTACTGCTGCCACATGGCGTATGAGTAATATGTTGGTATATTATCCATACGCACTGTTGGCAGGGCCCACAACTATAAAGTGTGGCATACTTATTGGGGACCCCGTTTTTACAAATAATTTAAGCACTTTGGGCAGCGACGCATGAAATGGATTAAAAGTATGTAGATTTGCCTCACCTGTTGCTGATATGCAGTGCGATTTGGGCGCCTTTTGGCAGCCGCACAGGCTCCCGCCGCCGCCGCCGCCACTCGCCTCCCGTCCCGCCTGCTTCTCCGACTTGGAGGCGCCACTGCCGCCGCCCGACGTCCCGCCCCCCGTCGACGCCTGCCGACCGCCGCGTCCGCCGGAACCATTCGCTGCCGCTGCCGCCGTTGCTGCAACATTGTTGCTGCCGCTGGCGGCACAATTTCCACTGCCGCCGCTTCCATCACCGCCAAGAAATGCCGCCAGCGGCAGGGGCGACTTCTTGTTCATCGCTCGGCCGAAGGATTTGCCTGACCTTCGAACCCTGGCCAATCTGTCAATCAATCAATCTGCTCGAGAGCCGAACTCGTTGCGCAGTGGATGGGAGGGTGGGAGGTGTAAACTCTCTTCTGCCGCTGACAATCAAATCAAACGCTTTGACGCTTCATGCGCCACGTAATTTGCATCCCCTTTCACGCCTTCGGTCGTTTGTGGGCGGTGTTGGGTGGTGGGTGGTGGGTGTTTTCGATGTTATTATGTGACCGTCATAAAATGTTGTTATTGTTGTACAGCGCCCGTTTACGAGCCTACTGTTTTTTTCGTTTAGTCTTCAGTTGGGTGAAAGTGGAAGTGGAGGTGAGACAGCCTGTCGCGCCGGATGCTGCAAATGCAAAATATTTTCATGAAAACCTGGCCAAAATGAAAACGAAAATTGCGATGTGAGTGTTTGGGGCGCAAATTGCATGGCAAACGCCGTGTAATTGAGTCAACAGCTTCAGGTTAGCACAAGGAAAAGTAATATCCTGACAAACCGATTCCACATATACACCATAAGCACTTCATTAGCGATAAGCGAGACTTAAATATTTTACGAAATACCGCCCGAAAATGTATTTTCACTGTTTTCAGACAGTTTCCGGACGGTTGCATAAAATGGAAATCTCTCGGTATACAAAAAGAAATTGTGAATTCGAAAACTTTGTGATTTCTCATAACATACCAAGTGTTCTCACAACAAAGTATAACATAAATAATACACAATTGTTAGGGTTTTAGAATCACTTTAGGCGGTGTATAAAATTATGCACCAACAAATTAACGTCGACCATATCTAAGTGACTTCTATTACAAAGATAATTGTATGCATTTTATGAATTCTTGAATACATGAAATCAAAATAGCCCCTATTTATGCTTTACGGACGAATCTATAAACATATATTAGCAGAGATTCCAGACGCACAAAGTTAAGTTACAATTTTAATTCACTTTTGTTTACTTTTGCGTCCGGCGTTGCCACCTTATTTATCGCGAGTTAAGATGATTGCGCTTCACCATTCCACGCATTTGGTGTGAATTTATAGTCGCCTTTCGTGTGTAATGGCATAGTCCCACAGAGCCACATCCACCATCTCTTTCAATAAATAATAAATAAATAATCCATAGTATTAAAATTAAATATGAGTCGAAAAAATAACTTCTTAAAGAGTTTGAAAGAGTGAAAGACCCACTTAAAAAAATTCTGCATACGCCACCGTAACTTTTGATGAACGGTGGATTGTGGAAGGCTGATGGTGGCTCTGTGGGAACACCGGTCCACCATCCATCAGAAATCCCAACCGTTTCGCTTGGATGGGCTCTGTGGGACTGGGCTATAAGCGAATAAATAAAATTATCTTTGTGCACACACGGTTTTTCCCATTTCATAATTGAATGAAATAGCCAACGCAAATATAAATATATTGATGCATTCTTTTCACACCTTTATAGGTACTTTTAAAGTCCTTGTGATTTCTGTAACCTAAATACCCATACAAATATCACATAGTTTCTGGTTAGAAATCAAATAAATAACTCCTGCTAATTAATATTATTTGGTAAAAGTCCAAACAACTTCTTTTAATTACTATCATAACAGTATGTAGTTTTAGACATTAAAAAGTCTAACTAATGTTAAAGGAAGGGAACATATTGTTGTCGGCAAACAAAACAATTTGAGGACCACAAGATTCCAGCTGAAAGATAGGTTTTCCCGGGTCAGTGGGCAAAACATTCTCATTATCCTGTTAATCACAGTCCACACATTTACGCCCGTATGCACATACATACATATAGCGCCAGTGTTTTTCGCAAATAATCTGATAAACGTGAAGATGGCTGGCATTTAAATTAAAGATTGCGCCACCCAAGCACAAAAACTTGGCGATTTGTGCCAGCAATTCCTTCGGGTTAGCACGTGCCATCCCTTTTTCGGGATTCGGGTGCTCGGATCCTTATCCTGTGGCACTTCAATTAAGGACACCCAGTTCGAGGCCTGTTTTTGCCTACTGCTTGCATTTTTGCCGACCCGTCTTCAATGCTAATTAGGTGAAGACATCGCAGCACGTTTCACTCCGCCCAAAACTCCCCATTTAATGAAACATGTTCAATTGTTGTCGCCGCACATGTACATATGTGGTATATACACATATCCTGTCATTCAATCTTGTCCTGCGAATGCTAAAACACGAATTTGTATGTGCACTTGGGCACAGAGAGAAACAAGAGATTTCCAAGCTTTTGAAAATAGTTGTTTTGGTTTAATTTCTCAATTTCAGATTAATTTATCGCTCAGTAACAGAAAGCTCATTCAAGCATAAATAAACAGCTCCATTAAATTCCCAAAAATTTGGTAAAAATTTCAAGAACTTGAAACACACATTGTTAAGGGTAACTTGATTGGACATCGTACAACTATATATACATTTGCAAATGTATCCAATATAATTCACTGCAATTACACTTTTACCCCAGTGTCTGGCCATTGAAATAACTACTCACATCAGACAAATCAAGCGAGGCAATTGGTAATTGCATCTGCATATCGCATCTCTTTGGCCGCACAGTTGAAATTGATATTTGGAGCATGGCAAAAGGACATGCAATCGGAATGGAAATACTTTCGGTTTACCTCAAGCTAAATGCGACAGTACTTTCGCCATTTCGCATTCCCAAATGCCAATCTGCATTCCAAACCTAACGATTTAACACGATTATCCAGCCAATTTTCGGGATCAGCGAGTGGGCCATCATCAATCATGAGAAAGGCGAAAGGCGGAAGGCGAAAGGCGGAAGGCGAAAGGCGAAAGGACCACTGCCCGTTTTTCAAAGCCCAACACATCAATCTCGGCCAGCAGTAGAGATTTACTTTAAGTGTTTAGTCCAGAAACTAAAAGCAAATTATGTTTGTCAAACATTTTTCACTTAAGCCTTTAATGTAGAACAGGAATATGGTAGTTTGTAAATAATTTGTTCTCTTTTACATTTCTTTTTACTTATATTACCTATAAAATATTACTTTGATGCCCACAACTATGTGCTTTACACTTTTAAGAAATTCAAGCTGTATTTTATTGCAGAGCTTCAAACACCAAAAATAAGTGTTTATTTAATCTTTGTTAACTCTTTGCAGTTTTTGCATTTTTAGGTATACAAAACCAACTATTTTGCTGTCTTTACTTGTAGAATTTATTATTGGCTCAATCAATACTGGAAGCTATCTGAAAATAATAATTGTTTGCAAGATTTCTGGGTCCAGTACATGAGATTTGCAGTTAATGCATTTTTTTTTAAATTGCCCAAGACATCTATTATTTCTAAATGTTTTGTTTACGACTTAGGTTTGTTCGCTTTTATATTCATTATGTGCTTTTTGTTTTCTTGCTTTACAATTTTAATCAGATTGTTTTGTTTATGCCCATTCAGGACTTACACCCACCCGTTGCCGGCATTCTTGGCATTTAAATATTACACCTGTTTACGACAGCCACGCCCCCTTCCGCCCACACTCACGCACACACACACACACTTGAAGGCGGCACAGCATTTATTTCGCCCTTTTAATTGCTGACATTTATTGAATGCTTTGCCCTGTGTTAAATCTACCGTGAGTAGGACGCAACATCGATGCCTGATGAACTGGGGGACAGGTGAGGAAATACTTATGTATGCATACAATTCAGGTGTGCCAACGTTTGTGTTTGTACTCAGTGTGTGGAGCAGTGTGCGTGCGTTGTTGCCTTTGAGTCTGACTTAAGTGCAAACTTATGCCAATTATGCGAAGCTTTTCCCAACAGGCATTCGACATTCAACTTTACATACACTCCAAACAAGGGGCTAACCAATTTCAAGTGACTAATTAGTTAACCTAAATAAATGAAAAACAAACTTATACAAACTTATAAACTATGTTCATTGTTTCGTTAAATTAATTAAATCATATACTAAAGAATTTTATTTGTTTTATTATAATCAGTAATCTTTTGCCCAAAATTCCAATCTCAGTGTCACAAAAACCGCAGAAATTTGTCTAAACGATTTAAAACAATGTTGATTAAACGATTAAACCAAAAATTATTTTGTTTAAAATTTATTCCTCAAATCTATGCAAATTTACTACGAGATACCCTTAAGCATATTCAGATTTTGTATTAGCGACGGATTTTTAAAAAAAAACTTCAAATCAAATATCGGAGATTTCGGTGTACTCCGAATATTAAACAGAAATACAAAAAACTTTAGAAGAAATTGAAGTACAACTTTTCTATTATTCTTTGACTTTTTAATGGAGTCCCGCAATGCAGAAACACTATTAAAGCATTTTATTTAATACACAAATAAGACATCATTTAATAAGGGCAAAATAAAAGATTTCATATTTCTTACGAGTGGTGGAGTTCAGAACCATTATATACATATTTCTTTCTGTGTACACATAGCTCAATAAGAGCGGTGGGGTGCAAAAAAACTCCAGCAGATTACACGGATCATTAGCTCAAATGAGAAAGTTCACATGTTCTGCTCCTGGTGATACGGATGGTTCTCTGGCTTCTTCTACTGCCCACCAAACACGACGTCCAGCACTTAATCAAATGCAAGCAGCGCCCGGCAAAAGCCAACCAAGTGTCCTGCTACAATGTCCTGCCAACTGGCGAATCGAAAAAGAAACGGGTTTGGGGGAAAGGGGAAAAGGGAAAAGGGGTGTGCCACGGCGAAGATAGATGCTTTTAAGATGCCGAGATAGGGACGATGGAAGGAAGACGACGAGATTGTACAACCAATATGCCTGATTGAAACGAAGTAACTTTCCAGGACATGCGACAGGACACACGCAGGACACGTGCAGTTATCTGCGGAATTTTGATAGATTTTCCTGCAACTGATTTGCGCACGTTTCAACGAAGGCAAAAGGTGAATCAAATGGAGCGACCAGAGATCCAATCCCATCCTTCCTGCCCCTCCATTACGCTCTCCATTCCACTCGAATCCCCTACCTTTTTGGCCAAAGTGCAAACCAGTGTCCGTCCTGTTCAAGTCGGTCCATTTGCCGTTTGTAAGTTTGTTGCCTTATTGATAAATGTCCACTCGCCGAAAAGATCCCCTAATGGGCAGTGTAATACCATTTATACAATTGGCCATGTAATTAACATAATTTTATTTGAATACACTGATAAAATAATTGAGTAGCACAAAAATATATATGACTTTAAATTCAACATTTAATACATAACATTTAAATTAAGTACTAAATTATTATATTAAATATAATGCATATTAAATTTCATGATTTAATATTTTAATATTTTCAATTAATATTTAATATTTCAATTAATGCAATATATTAGATTAAAAATAGTAAAATCAAAACAATTGTCGAATTCTAAACTTTTAATAATTTGTATATTTTCATATTTAAAATAACTAAAAACCGCCATGAATGAAAATGGTTGATCGTTAGATAAGTGAAAATATTTAAATTGAGTGCATAATATTAGGATTTACTACCTCATTTTAGCAGTGTACATGTGACAAATAACATTTAATATTATTATAACTAATTGGTTAAAAATAATATTTTGGTTTATTTTTTTTATAAGAAAAGCAGTATTATTTTCAAGTAAAAGATAATATTTCAAATTTTTTGTAAAAATATTACTTTTGCGTAAAGAAAAGAACAATTAACGCCGTTTGCTTTATTTAATTAATTTCTACCAGCAGAAAATATCTCCCTATGAAAAGAGTCATACAAATATTTTATTTATAGCTAACATAATATCTTATGATAAATGTGCAATATCCAGGGAATGTTTTTTTGTAATTATAAAAGTTTTATTT